TGAATACAACAATGCATTGATCTCCTCAGTGTCTTCATGCATTTCAGACTCTTTTCCATTTAAATGGTTCTCATCAAACTCCTCAGAATCTTCCTTGAAAGCTTTCTCTAGACCGTTTAACTCAGAGAATTTCACTGGCTCTGCAGCCCCAGGAGATGGAAACCGTAGAGGAAATGGACACCGTAATAGACGAGTCTGGTTTCCTGACTGATCGAATATCATAAGTCTTTTCTGAGAAGAGTCTAATGCTCCATGTGGAGTAGTAGCAGTAGCAGTAGCGCACCAAGACCGCATGCCAGAGAGCGAGAATCGTTTTCCACACGACTCCTTATCATGATTGCACGGTAAAGACTGGAGTAATGGTGGCTGCAAACAGCGAGCCTGGAGCTCAGCTGCATATAGTTTCCCAAGCTCAGGAATTCCAGGATGGACAGACTGAGCTGCTAAATCCTCAACGCAGGCTTGAGGATCTACGCCACCAGGCAAATCCCATTGCCTGGTATCAAGAGGCATGCTCTTGCAGTTTAACTCAAGGGAACTTTAAAGAGTACAAACACTGCAGGACAAAAGAAAAAGACAAGAATCAGCTCAAGAAAGATAAATTTAACAATTTCATAATAGGAAAATTTTAGTAGGCATACCGATTGTTAAGTTGCTGAATCGAGTGAATGCAATACTTCTTGTTACCTTTTCGAATATGTAGTGAAAGAAAGAAGAAACAAACGAACGAAAAAAAACACAACGTGAAATCACAAACCAACTACGTCACTGGTTTGAGTAGAAGTCTGAAGTACTCAGCCTGAAACACAATGAAAAAAATCACACTGTTAAAAGACTAAAACTATTAGTGGCTAAAAGTGTGATAAAAATGAGAGCATTGTTTCTGCTACAAACCTGGCAATTATCCATCGGTTGAAAGCATGCAATAACTCTCACTACAATTGTTGGTCTATTAGCGTCTCCTGCCTCGTATTTCAATGCTCGAAATCTTGTCTTACCAGGGGATTGGCACACCATAACTTTGAGGAATATCTT